AATAGTGATACATTACATTTGTTTCTTAGAGTTGATTGCAATAAATTTACTGTTTTGGTGATAAATATCGCGTATTCATCTCAAATTTGTCGAGAATAAAGCTTAATTTTTATTGATGTACAAATGTTTTGATAATGTATGCTTAATTTTTTTGAAATCATACAGACCACTTCACTAGATTCATAAATTTTTCAAGTCCGTTACATTGAAAAGATATAAATAATTATTGAAATTTCAAATATACCCATTAACCTAACAATTAACAATGATTAATTTTCTTTGATTTATACGTTTATTTTAATGATTTATATATTGTTAATTGAAATCATAAAAATCACCAACGAGATTCTAATAATTGTCTTCTAATCATTATTATGAGTTGAAATTCAATGTCTATAATTAGCTTGATTAATCGATATTTCACCTCCTACTAAGTACTAAATGAGAATACGATAAATTATACTATGTCGATACATCAAAAAATTTGTCTATATTTTTCATTTGCTAGCCAAGAAAAAGTAACATGTTTAAGGTATTAAAAATATAAAGGGAACCAACAAGTTCAGTATTTTCCTAGGTCCGGAAAAAACTCTCGAGCGATTCAATTCAATTATTCTTAGGTAAAAATATTCGAATGTGTATTAGAATCGAGAACTAACGAGTTTGGTTTGATTCTAGATTCTAGGCCAAGAGTCGAATGATCAAATAAAAATCAAATCTCTCTAATTTTTTAAATTTTCTATATCGAATAAGCCATTTTTTATTTTTTTTCATTTTTTCTAAATAAATTTGTTTATTAAATAATTAAATTATCCCAAGGCTCCAAATTCCAAAGGCCGGGTTCAACTTGAGCCTAAAATAAATTTTTGGTAATCTGCATACATTGATGTTCGAATTGGTCTATGTTACTCATAAGAATTAAGATTGAACATATCATTGGATTTATTAAATGTTGAACACTTTAATTATGGTAAGGAATCAAATGAAACGAATTGAACCAAATGGAAGTGAATCGATTCATTTCATAATTAAATTTGAATTCAACAGCTTCAATTATTAAATACCCAAAAAATCTTTTTCAATTTAATTTTCTTTAAAATCGAATCGAATTAGATCATGTCTAGGCTTAAGAATTGTAACTATAAGCTAAATATTTATTAAAACTTATAATAATCAGTGTTGTAATTTATTTAATTATTAAATAATTAGATTGATTCATAAATTTAAAATAATATTAAAGCTAAAAAAAAATTACGGCATCGTTTGGAAACGATTTTTTGAATTGATTTTTTGACTGTTAAGAGAAAAATGGGGATCACCTGTGAGAGAAAAAGTCAAATTTTACGAATAAAATAGTGAAATAACAATCAAAAAATTAAATTTTTAAGGTGAAAAATCACTCCCAAACGACCCCTACGTCTGTGATCGCCTATTAGAACCTAACCTCCACATCTCATCACACTTTTTTCGAACAATTATCATAATTATAAAACAAGTTGACGAGGTTTACATCAAGAACATAAATTAAAGAGATCTAGAAAGAGAAAAGTACAGTGTCCCACAAGCAATAGACACTTAAAAACGTGTCAAAATTCCTATGGCTTATATCGTCAGTGGGAACAGCCACACCGCAAAGCTAGAATTGTTGCTGACTCATTAATGAGCCAGCACAATAATTGCTGGAATCTCCTGACTCGGCGACTCACACTATTCCATAAGAGCAATTATATATAAAACAGTCGCTCATTACTGTAATTGTCGTATATGGTATATAATGTGATAATTTTTTATTATTTCAAGCATCAAATCATTAATTATTGCATGTATGTTAAGTAGGATAACTACGATAGTGAACGATTACAGATAATATTATTTTTTAATAAATAAATAAAAAGGTGATGTTACGTATAGGGTAATTAGCACAAAACGTCCCTACCTTTCGATATTTTTGTGGAAAACGTCCCTACCTTTCATTTTTTGGTGGATTACACCCTTACCTTTACCTTTTTTTGCGCAAAACGTCCTTCTGTCAACTCTCCGTTAAAATGCTCCGTTATATCAAAAAGGTAATTAGCACAAAGGTCCCTATCTTTCAAAGTTATTGTACAAAAAGTCCCTACCTTTTATTTTTTAGTATAATTAGTAGAAAAGGTCCCTACCTTTAAATATTATTGTGCAAAACGTCCATACCTTTCATTTTTAGCATTTTTACCCCTACATTTCACCTTTCATTGTGCAAAAGGTCCTTTTCATCCATTTTTTCAATAAAACGACGATTTTAGTCTCCTATTCAAATAAAACAAAAAGAAAAGATAAATTACCAACTGCAACCATAGTCCTTAAATTTTTAAAAAATTACAAAAAAGTCATAAATTCTCAACCACCACCATTTTCACAACTTATCAAGCTGCTAACTATAAATCCACATAATACCACCTTTCAGCCACCATGCCCACCGGACTCCACCACCGTAAATGTGGTTGTTTCAGACAGATTGGTGACCAATACTATGGAGGAGGATATTGGGGAGAGTGAGGCGATGCTATTGGTGGTGGAGTCCGATAGGTGTTGTGGTCGAAAAGTGGTGCTATATGGATCTATAGGTGGTGGCTTGGTGGGGTTGTGAAAGTAGCGGTAGTGGAGAATTTAGGATTTATCTGTAATGTTTTGATAGATTTAGAACTATGATTGCAATTAATTAATTATTTTTTCTTTTCTTTTTGTTTTATTTCAATAGGAGGGTAAAATCGTCATTTTATAGAAAAAATGGATGAAAATGACCTTTTACGCAATGAAAGGTGAAATGTAGGGGTAAAAATACTAAAAATGAAAGGTAGGGACGTTTTGCACAATAATATTGAAAGGTAGGGACATTTTCTGCTAATTATGCTAAAAAATAAAAGGTAGGGACTTTTTGTACAATAACTTTGAAAGGTAGGGACCTTTTGTGCTAATTACCTTTTTGATTTAACAGAGCATTTTAACGGAGAGTTGACAGAAGGACGTTTTGCGCAAAAAAAGGTAAAGGTAAGGGTGTAATCCGCCAAAAAATGAAAGGTAGGGACGTTTTCCACAAAAATATCGAAAGGTAAGGATGTTTTGTGCTAATTACCCTTATGTATACATAATAGTGTACACATAGGATTTTATACCATATGTGCACTTTGAAATGTACAAAAAACATTATTATAAAAAGGACTGTAATCCGTTTGATTGCAAAAATGAAATTTAGGTGTAAAGAAAAAGAATTTCAGGGAATTGAGTTATCTAGAAATTATTTTACTGATAATCGTCAATTATTATGTTTGATTGGTATAATTTTTCACGTGAAAAAATGTTGAAATAAAAGTGTTCTTGGTATTAGTTTGGCTTCATTTTACATAAAAATTGTCAATTAAAGGGATATAATTTACTGAAATTTGGGACAGAATTTGTTTCCATTGCCCAAAAAAAGTTAAGAAAATCATCTATCTTTTGGTATTCGTTTGACTCTGTTTTATATAAAAATTATCAATTAAAGGAAAATATTTTTTTACGATTAGAGATAGAATTTGTTTCCATTGCCAAAATAATAATAATAATAATAATAATAAATTCGATAGTAGCCTAGAAAATCAATTCCCACCATAATTTCCAAGGAAAACCAATGTCTAGGTAGCAAGAAAACCAATTACCTCGAAAAAATATGCTATCAAACAGTCAAAAAGTGGAAGTTAAAATTTAAATTCTATTTTCCCTGAAACATAATGTGCTATCAAACATGCCATTAAAATATTATTTAACTTTAATCACCCAACTTTATTTTGTTCAATCTTTTATTTTTGCATCAAATTGGTCACCTAATTTTCATTTTAGTTTCAAGTTAGGCATGCAGCTGTTTCTGCCACTCAACATTGTCAGTATCATAACTTCACTCAAACTGATAAAGAGGAATTGCGAACGGGATCGAGTAAAATATTAAAAAAGATACAAAAATCGAATATTGTTAATAAACATATTAACAACCACAACAAATTGAAATTAAATAAATAAAATCAAGTGTTCGACCATTTTATATACAGTAGAACCTTGATAAATGAATGTTTGAAAAATTAATAATAAGATTTTTCAATCCCGACCTCGGCCAATGTACTAAATTAATAACCCCATTAATTAAATTTATAAGATGATAATTTTATTATTATTATTATTATTATTATTATTATTATTATTATTATTTATTTACATAGATCCTTCAAGTTCCAACGAATATATAAAGTAATAAAAACAAAAGTACTTTATAAATTAATAAATATTCATTTACCGATAAATTAATTAACCCTTTAACATAAAAAAATTTTCTAGGTCTCAACCTTATTATTTTATAAAGATTTTACTGTAGGTTTACATACGTGATGTATAATGTATAATACATTGAATTATAATTTCAAACATGCAAGTCTGATCCCTTACTTCTAGTGGACATGATAAAATTATACTCAACCCAAATATCCAATTGTCGAGCCTATTAATTCATCAAAAAATGAAGTTGAAAAGCCCATAATAATGATAAAGAAATCAGAGAATCGTGATCGTTTTGATCCAACAACATGATCATAGCTATCCTCCATTTTGTGATCATCTATACAATTCAAATTGTTTTATCATTTTCGAATCGTAGATACGTACAATTCAAATCGAATTTTAGCAATCTTGGGCACCTCATATCAACAAAATTGACGACATGGTCTACAAATATGGTGACATAGCATTAAAATTTGTCAACTAATTCATGATTTCGTCCTTCTTAACAAATTACAAATGTTGTCGTTTAACGTTATCAAATCTATTAACATATATGAAACCCAAAAAGTTCATTAACTAGTTTAGAACAAAATAAAGCTTGATACCTAAAACGCGAAGCTCTATAAGTTTGGGGACTAGCAATGTTTTTCCAAATTCTTTAATGCCCCACACCCCGCCGCCACCGGCCACCCTCTCTACCATTATATATTCCATTCCCCAACCCTCTCCTCTCCTCTCCTCTTCCACTTGGAAATTTTCCTCTCCCATTATCACGATTCTTCAACGCACAATCCCAACCAATCCAAAACAAACGAGCATAATACAATTTTAGCCGTATAATTGAAGAAGCTTAGGAGAAAGATTGATGAATATGGAAATCCCAGACATGAAATTGATAAGTGATTTTGAATGCCTGCAGAACCCAACTTTGATTTCACGTTTGTTTTCACTTTCCGGACCTCGAGTTTTCAGTTTTTGGAAATGGGGTGCTGTGATTTTTCTACTTTTTGCAACTCTTAGAAGCTTAATCAAGAGAATCAAACTCATTTTTGTCCATTTCTGTTCACTCATCAAGCCTTCTCCTCACCCTTTCAGTGAAGATTTTGAGTTTAGCGAAGGCGATGATTGTTCCTCGATTTCATCGGAAGAAGAAGAGGAGAAAAATATTCAAACTACTTCGATATCAGATCAACGTAAAATTGATGGAGATTTTTGTGTAAAGGGGCGGCAAATTGGTAATTTGAGGCAACGGACGCGGCGGAGCAGCGGCGATGAAAGGTTTGCGTGGTCCGAATTTACTTGCGGTAAACATGTTGTAAAGCTTTGGGATAGTTTAGATTTTGGTTTGAATTTGGCTGAAGATAATGATAATAATAACTGTAAAAGCGTTGTTTCGTTATGGGATTTTGATCATGAAGAGAAAAAAGGCAATTCTTTTGGCCGAAGGTGGAATATTCCGGCACTGGCGATGGAATCTCCGGAGGTGGTTTTGACTGCGGAAGGTAATGAAAAGAGGGACGACGTCGTTCTGGGTGGTTATGACAAGAGAATGCCACGTGGGATTCCGGCTATATATGCTGAATGGGGCCCAACGAACTCCACCGCAGCTGCGGCGGCTGCTGTCTCCACTGGCGGAGTTGAAAAGGTTTATGTCCGAAACGGCGTTACTGGGGGTTTAACTGTTGGTGACATAAGGAAATTGAAGACTCCGATTGAGAATGTGACGGAATCTGGCGGCGAGACATGGTGGGAAGCTGACGCCGTTATTGTGTAGGACGAGTTGTACTGAGCTGTCGTCCAAGAAACCCCGTGGTTCCGTATGTTGACCCTTGAGTTAACGTGTTCCATTTGGAAAACGTAAACTCATCTATTCAAAATTGTACAAAGCTTCTTGGAAAGAGACCGTTGTCTGTCTGTAAATGCTTTTATGTTAATTTATGAAATCGATAATTATTGATCAAATTTATTTTATTTTAGATATCTTTCAACTTTTTTTTTTCTTTTTATAAAAAGACTTGACGTAGCAACCACTTCTAAGGGATTGTTTGGTACGGATTAAGCCCTTGTTTGATTTTCATTACATTACATTACATTACATTCTATTTTTCTCTCTCCTATTTTCAACCACACAATCTTCCATAAAATAATATTACACGTAAATCGAAAATTTTTCTTTCTTTTTCAACCGCTCATTTTTCAAAAAATACTATTCTATACATTAAATTTTCCCCGTAATGGGGGCCAAACAAGGGCTAAAATTTAATTTTAATTTAAGTTAAAGTCAAATAATCAATATTAACCATAGTTTTTATGGGTTCCACAACTTTTCAATCACATATTTAGAAAACTTCTACCACAATTTGCTAAAAAATATAATTTTAATCCATACCAAACATCTTCTAAGTAAAATGATAATTTATGTATTTAACAACTAAAATATTTTAGTTGTTAAATTATAAAATCTTTGAGAGATTTTAACAATTAATCTGCCCTTGTAGAGCATTAATGTAAACGTAAAACAAAAGGAGAGTAAGATGTGGTTTGAGTTACTTGTAAGTAGTAATTTTTTGCTTATAAGTAATATAATTTATAGAGACATTTATTTAAAAAAAAAAAATCTCAAGATATAATTGTAAGTTGATTAAATGTGTTAGAATAATATATTTAACCATAAAAAATACGTTCACAATGTGTTCAGAAAAATAAAGAACATTAGTTATGTTTGATGTACATTTTAGATCGGATAAGAAAATATTAAATCAGATTTGACATTTGGTACAATTAATATTTGGATTAAATTAATCTGGACGATTATCCAACCTAATTTGGACTAGTCCAACAATCAAATTGTAAAATTACAAACTTCATTTAGTCTCTCCATACAAAACTGAAATACTCATGAAATTGCACTTCTTTTATCCGTAAAAGCTAATAAAGCTATCCGTAAAAGCTAATAAAGCTATTTTTAAGCAACTTGTATATGATTTAAGTTTTATTTATAATAGCATCGCGGTTTCTAACAAAGCCTTTTTCAAGTGGTGCCTACTTATTGATTTCATAACAACAAATGCGGTTCAACGATCATTTTTTATATATATTCAAAATCAAATTATATATTGTGATTGAGACTTGTTAATTTCGTAACTATTAATGCTCTTGTTATAATTTTTTACCATTATTTTAGAACTCTTTTTTTTACATACTTATTTTTAACTATATATTCACACAATAAAATATTATGTATGTAAATTCAAAATTTTTCTCTACTTTTATTCCACATTAACTTAAAAATTATTATTAAAAACTCATTTTTTTTCCAAATAATGATTGTCAAACATAGGCTTAGTCTATTCAAATGTTTCTTTAAGATATCAAGTTTCCTTTTCATAACTTTAACTTCAGAGAAAAAAAAAATGACGATTTATATTAATTGCACTTAAAAGGCCAGGAGAAGTTAGACGTTGACTTAATTAAATTAGATTAACATAAATATAAAAAAAAAATCAAATATCTTATTTTTCTCATATAAAAATAATTTTTTCACAAAGAAAAAATTAAATTGCCAATGCTTACCCTTAAATCCGCCCCTTTCTTAAAAGGAGATTTAGAGCACCATAGTTGACATTTTCAATTTCCTTATATCTGGAATATGGTAGGCATATTCTATTTCTTGAAAACTTAAATTTGAATAAAAGATTGGGGGGGCGGGGAATCGTTTCTACCTTACCTAAAAAATAAACAATAGGGCTGGCATTTATAAAAGCTTCGCCAACAATATAAATTTTCGATTGATTCTTGCTGTGCGATAACCAAAAAAATGTAAACAGCCTGATTCTCTTCCTCGCTAGGCTCAAAACAATAACTTCGACCTACTGTAGATTGATATGAAATCAATTAGTTCAAATATTATAATGTTTTTTGAAATGAAAATTAGTGGTGGCTAGATTACATGTGTGGACAAGTGGGGTATATAAAATGTTCATACTTATGTCACGTTCAAATAGTATTTTTTAAAAAGGTTGAATCCCAACCTTAAGGGTCCTTCACCGCCCCTGTCCTGGAGTATCGTGAGGGAGGTAAATCGCAGTTTATGTCTCCAAAGGTACAGGGTGGAAGGCTGCTTGTACACTTGCACTTACCCAAGAGCCAAATCCATATTTCAGGATTCGAACCCTTGACGCAGCAGTCTCAAACAAAGCTGGATTTCTCCACCCTTCCCTTTTACCACTTGGAGATGTGCCTGGGGGCAAATATGATGGACTGCATTGTGCAACAAAAAATTAACAAATTGAAAATTCCGAGCAAATTATTACTTATTACTAATAAATACACCTTTGAGAATCAATTAAAACTCCAAAAAGCTATCTCATCAAAGTAAGTCACGTGTTTTGTGTCGTCAATAACAATGTATATTCATATTGTGCATGTGAATGACACTTATCTGGATTAAGTAATAATCACATCATGGTCTAAGCATTGATTTTCATAATAAAACACATCAAAGCACTTAAAACAACCAAAAAAGAAAAAAAAAATATTGCAAAACAATATTTTGGAAGGGGGAAGATTGCTTTCAAAAAGGAAAATAAAAGAGCAGTTACTAGCGGTTGGTAACTCTGAACCAACTTCTTTGAATTTAGGTCAAGTAAAACCATGTTTATAGCCTTTTTGCTTTGTTTTTAGGCACAGTCTTCTTCGATAAAACCCATGTATGTTCGTGACTTGAAGCAGATAGACATCAGGTGCAAATGTATAAAATGTTAGGAACCTTCGCTAGCACAAAATGAAGGTTAGGGTATAATTTGCAAAAAAAGAAAGTGTTGGGAATCGTTGCTGCAATTTTTCCTAATTGTTTTGCTAATAAGTAATATAATTTCAAAAGACATTTATTCAACAACAACAATAATAATAATAATAATAATAATAATAATAATAATAATAATAATAATAATAATAATAATTTGATTAAATTTGTTAGAATAATATATTTAATCATACAAAATACATTCATAGGGGCAGGGGCGGACCCAGACGACTTGGGTTAGGGGGGCAAAAATAAAATTTATAGGGTATCTTCTAATAAAAAAACTAAGGGGGAAAAAAAAAGAAAAAGCTAAGCAATAATTTTTTTCCCCCAAAATTTAGAGGGTCAATTGCCCCTATAAACACCCCCTAGGTCTGCCCCTGCATAGGGGTGCTCAAAAAAATAAAGAACGTTATGTTGAAGCACTTATTAGATCGGATTAAGAACTTATTAAATCATATTTGATGTTTGGTACAATTAATATATGGATTAAATTAATCTAGACGATTATCCAACCTTATTTTGGACCACACGTAGAGAAAACTAGTCCAAGAATCAAATTGTAAAATTACAAACTTCATTTAGTCTCTCCATACAAAACTAAAATACTCGTGAAATTGCACTTCTTTTACCGGTAAAAGTTAATAATGCTATTTTTAAGCAACTTGTATATGATTTAAGTTATATTTATAATAACATCGCGGTTTCTAACAAAGCCTTTTTCAAGTGGTGCCTATTTATTAATTTCATAACAAGAAATGCAGTTCAACAATCATTTTTTTTTT